ACTGACGCGCCCTCTGCCTGCGCTTATGTGAGAGAAAGCGGCCGAGGGAGGGAGCGTGCCGAGCCCGGGCTTCCCTCCCCTCTCACTTTCCCTCGGAAGCGGTCTCCCTCGAGCTCCCCACTTCTCTCACCTCCTCCCCAGCGGCCCCACCCTCCCCCACCTTCCCTCCCCTCGGCTCGCGTCCCCTCCCCTCCCCTCCGGCGGGCTGGCGGCTGGAGGAGCGAGTTCAGCCTCGGGGCTGGCGGTCTGCAGGGCTAGCTTTAGACAGTGTTAGCACGCTTGGTCAAGTTGGAACGAGGAGAAGGTAGATAAATTGGGGAGGAGGGAGACGACCCCGTGTCCTTGGCGGCTCTCGGGCTTCAGTCCTGCTCCGGGCACGCATCGCCCTCAACCCCCCGCTCTAATTCGGAAATAACCCCCCGAGTTCCAAAAGTTCCAAGACAAAGTCATCAGTATGGCGAAGATCCCGCCGGAACCTTGGAATGAGCCGCAGCCCCCTCTTGCCCTTCCTCTGGGTAACGAAGTTGTCTGGCAAAGCAAGGACGAGAGGAGTTCTCAGAATGCAGTGCCGACTGTTGGGATGGATACTAAGGATCCTTCGGAATCGTAAACTTTTGGCAGATGGGGAAAGGTGCCAGAAGCTTTTGGGAGAGTAAAGAGACACAGAGTGGGTTTCTGCTTTCTCTTGAGGGCACAAGAAGTTGAGCTTAAATGAGGAAGAGGGTGACAGAGACGTCTGTTAAACATATTGTGAAAGTAACATCTGGAGAAAAGCAACTGCATTTCCCCCATTGGAAAAGCACCCAGAGACTCAACTGTGCGTATTGCACTGGCTGTTTCCCTCTTTGGGGCAGAGTGGGCAGGTTTCGGTGTGCCAACGGAAGGGTTTCAGCAACGTGCAGAGCATGAAGACGTGTATCACTTTTATGCCCAAACGACTTTTAAATAGGTTGATTTTATAGATTTTGTAGGTCCATAGGATCTTAGATGGAGAAGAGACTTTCTTATCTGACTGAACTTCCTAAAAGACCTGAAACTCCCCTCATCCATTATTTGCTGGAAAACTTAAATACCTCTAAGGGCAGGGAACCCACTGCTCTGTGTAGCTGCCCCTTCTCCGTGTTGAAGGTCACCATTGCTGCGAAGTGTTTTCTTCCATCAATCCATTGCTTTTGACTTTGGGAGCATTACACAATAAATCTAATCTTGCTTCCACATGTGAGTTCATCACATATTTTAAAAATATTCTTTCCAGGTAAATATTCCTATTTTTCCATGCTTCATAAAATACACTGCTCAGAATGTGACTTAGTACTTGGTGTTCCAACAAGCATGCAGAAAAGGATCTTCCTTGTCCAGACACTATCCATTTGTTGATGTGTCTTCAGATCAAGTTTATTTTCCGGCAGCCAGATCACAGTGTTGACTCACATTACACTTACAATCAACTAAATTCCTCAAGAATATTTCATATGTACTGCTGTTTAGTCACGTTTACACCACCCTGCCTTTGTGGAGTTAGATTACTGTCTCTAAGATCTGAGCTTTTTTATTTATCTTCATTCAATTCTGTCCTATCAGAGTCAGTCCATCATCACAATTTGTTGAGATGTTTTGGGATTCTGACGTGGTCAATGTCTTATTCTTCTTTCTGTCTTCCTACTACATGCATGTTTGATCGGTCTGCTGTAACCGTCTTCCAACACTGAGAAAGCTGTGAAAGGGAAAGGTTTAGATAGAAATGATACCCTGGAATAGGATTGGGGTAGAAGCTGGAGTTCTTTTTAACCATTCTCTGTTACAGTGGTCCTCAATCTTGATTGTACTTGGAATCACAAGGGGTGATTGAAAAAACAGCACCAATACTTGGGTGTACCACCAGAGATTCTGGTTTACCTGGTCTGGGGTAAGGCTTGCACATCAGGATTCTAATGGGCAACCAAATTTAAGAACCTCAGGCATTTCCAACACCCATGGGGCATAGCACAGGTTTGAGAGTGCAGAATCAACAGACTCCGTGTGTATCATATTTAACTATTATTTGTTTTATTTGAATATAGCAGTAAGCACATACAGACTTTCTGATTGTTTTTCAAAAATATATCATCTTCCTAGTACAGTTGGTATTTTTAACTAAAGGGAATGTTGGGCAAAACATATAGTTTAATGAGAAAAAATCAGTAGTCTCAGAAGACAGTTCTGTAGTAGTTGTTTAAAAGTGTCTGCAAGGCAGAAAGGGAGAGTTGCTCAGGGCTTTTTTTGCTTCCTTGTTGCAGTGTGCCATCTTGTCAATTCTGGCTCATAGCCACCCTACGGGACAGAACAGAATTGCCCCATAGGGTTTGCTAGGCCGTAATGTTTAGGGTAGCAGATTGTCAGGTCTTTTCTCCCAAGGAGTGGCTAGTAGGTTTGAACCACCAATCTTTTGGTTAACAGCCAAACAGTTAACCATTGTGTCACTAGTAGCTTCCTTCAAAAAAAAGCCAAACCCATTGCCGTCAAGTCAATTCCGACTCAGTAACCCTACAGGACCGAGTAGGACTCCCCCATAGAGGAATGGCCAGTGGATTCGAACTGCTGACCTTTTGGTTAGCAGCCATAGCTCTTAACCACTGTGCCACCAGGGAAAATACTTTGTACCACCAGCAGATGTTGAAGCTTTAGGAGCCCTTTTTTCTGACTTGGGGGTCTATCACTAACTTCTTACCTGTTTTACAATAGGGCTTCTGTAACAGTTATTTTTTTTTTCCCAGAAAGTATTCCTTAGGCAGTAGAAAGTGAGGAAAGAGAAGTACCAGGGCTCTGGTCTTCTAATCCCTAAGCACCAGCCAAAGTAACACCCTTGCCTGTTTTATATATTGGGTTTCTATTTTCCTTTGGAGACAGAACTTCAGGCTTTTAGTAATAGTAATATAGTTACTGTGTGTTCTTCAGTATCCATTCTTGCTGTCTTTTTTAGTTCATTGAGTCCCTTCTTTAATTTTTCTTTGTTGCTCTATTCCAAACTTCTTGTTTTATTTCTCTCTATTTTCTGATAAATCTATTTTAAAATATAAGTTTTGGTCTAAGTTAAGTTTTACCTTTGTCTGCCTGTTCAGCCTCTAGGGCTTCTTTGTCAACCAGCTGTAAATATATCTTAATTTCCTTATGCCTTTTTTAAATTAGTTTCCAGACATATGGATTTTTGGTCAGGTCATTAATTTCTAAATTTATCACATTTGGTCATACTATAAAGGAGCCCTGGTGGCGGAGTGGTTAAGTGCTTGACTGTTTACCTAAAGGATGGCGATTCGAGCCCACCAGCCTGCTCTGTGGGAGAAAGATGTGGCAGTCTGCTTCCATCAAGATTACAACCCTGAGAACCCTATGGGGCAGTTCTACTCTGTCCTAAGGGCCACTGTGAGTCAGAATTGACTTGACAGGAATAGAGTCATACGATGAATGATGTTGATTTTAGAAATGCATTAGGGCCTTCTTTGTAGCCTTCTATGTGGTTGATTTTTGCATTGATTCCCTGTGTTTAGTCTTTTTGTTGAGTTCTAAGTTTGAGTGACACAATAGTTAAAGCACTTGGCTGCTAACTGAAAGATTGGTGATTCAAACCCACCAGTGGCTGTGCAGGAGAAGAAACCTGGCGATCTGTTCCCATAAAGATTATAGCCTAGAAAACCCTGTGGGACAGTTCTACTTTGGCCTATATGGTCGCTATGAGTTGGAATCAACTGGAAAGCACACAACAACAAGAGGTTTGAGCTTACGGACAGTAATACTCAAATCTTATCTAAAAGTGACGTGTTAAAAATCTCCAATTAGTATTGTTGACTTTTTTGTTTCTGACACTAGTTCTATCAGTTATTTCTTTGCATACACCCTCTTCTCACTTATTAGCATGGTTAGTTTCCAAAGGCCAGGTCATTATGCAAAATCGGCATTATGCAAAAATGGAGGATGACCACATTAGATCACAAAATGGAGGATGATTACATCATTATATAACTACCAAATTATGCCATTGCATAACTGCTAAATCTCATCATTTCATAACCATCAAATTACATCCTTACATAACCGCCAAACCACTTAGAATCATGGCCCAGCCAAGTTGACATATAACGTTAACCACCAAAGTCAATGTTACTCTCACCTCACAACTCGGTGTTCGTTATTGCCAGACATACATCATTAAGGCACAAAATAGATACTAGATTTTTACTGTTGTAAATACAAAATATCGGATAACGAGATGGTTGATAAGGAGAAGGTATAATTTGATGATATATTGTTTGCCTCAAATATTCATGATGATTATATCTTTCTTCTGTCTTTCATTTTACTAGTGTATAATATTCATTTTCATAACTTTGTGTCTTTTAATACATTATTTTTAAGCAGTTTTACACTTACAGAAATACTGTGCATAGAGTTCCCATATATTCCCTCTCCCCATTGTACACTGTCCTCTGGTTGTTAACATTTTGCATTAGTGTGATACATTTGCTACAACTGATGAACCAATATTGTTACATTAGTTTACATTAGGTTTCACTCCTGTGTTGTACAGCTCTATGGGCTTTGACAAATGTTTAATGTCGTGTATCCACCATTACAATCTGCAGAATAGTTTTAATGCCTTTAAAATGTCCCATGCCTTGTGGATGATACTCATTTCTGATGTTTTTATTTGAAATTCTATTTTTCTCTAATATTAAAATTATAGTCTTTGAGACTTGAGACCATCTGTGAACATGACGTAGATAAGACTGTGAAAAACTTATGTCAATATAATATAGTTGTTTCTTCTAGGAAATGTTAGCCTTGGAAGGATAAATTTATAAACCGGTAATTAA